CGATTTTAAGATTATTTCATAATATTACAAATAATAAATACGTAAAGAATTATTTTTAATTTCTTAAACAAGTCCTATCCAGTAAAATGGTGTATGAACAAACATATTATTATTAATTATACAAAATATAATTGAAGAAACCTTTTTATATTCAACACTTCTTTCATGATTATTATCTTCGTTATTTATTTTAATCATATATTGACACATTTGTATTATTATTCATATTGTATTATGACACATATAATGTATAATTATGTAAACTTTATTTTAAATTATTACATAATTATACATAATTTCTTGTAACATAGTTTTGTTATAATGTATATTTATGATATATATATATATATATATATATATATATATATATATATATATATATATATATATATATATATGTATGTATATATATATAATAATGTGTGAACAGTTAATACGTATTTTATTTCTTTTACGTATTTAATTTCATATTTATGTATATGTTTATTTAATATATTTTAATATAATTTTTAATATCGTACATATACTATTATGTAAAAGTTTTGAAGACCGTTTCTTGTCTCACTTGGGAATTTATGTTTGTGGAAATTCTTCATTTTCAAGAGCTCATTGTATTTCTGGATTGATTAATGAACCTCTGCTCAGGATTTGTCTTTCTATCAGAAATTGTAGGCTGATTTATGTCTATTTCTACATTTTCTGCTATTGGCGAAGTATTTCTCCGATCAACGAAAGGACGCACATAGCAACTGTAATGTTTCGTCTGCATGCATCACATTTTGAAAAAGGAAATTATATATAAGACAAAGAAGAAATAAAATAATAACGGTGAACAACAATAATAAAAAATACTAATACTAAATTTTATGAAATAATAAAAAAACTCATTGGAACATTCGGCCGATGAAATGCACCACATTTTGCATAAGATAGTTCCATATTACTTCATCATTTCCTTACAAAAAATGCGAGTAGGATGCATCGCGTGAAGAATCGAGTGCATAAACGGATAGCATACGTAATATTTAAAATATTTATTTAAACGTTTATTTAAAAATCTAACTTTATGGAAAAATCTAGTAAAAGTACTAGTATTTTTGTGATCTTTGTATTCATTGAAGAGCAATGCAAAGATTAGTTATTTTGTATTCTGTAAATAAAACTTAAATTTTTATTAAAAGCACAAACGAAAAGAGTGATACAAATAAAATAAAATTTTTCTTTACAGAACAATTAAAATAATTTCTTATTACAATAGAAGGTTACAAATAACCTTGAATACTTAAATAAATGCGATTTAAATAAATCTTACTATATTTGACCTTTTATTTATCTTTTGTTTACCTTTTAGTAAAAAGATACTTCTATAGTGATAGCAGACATTTTGTAGTATTAACCATCTTTCTGTGTTCGAAAAGCGCGTTTATAATTGACATCTTTTATACTTGATATTTTTTTCTATAATACGCACAACAAGAGTAAACAGGATAGAGAATGAAAAAACGAATGATATAGCATATTTGCTCTTTTTCCACATGTCCGATTGGTGGTCGACGATGTCGTTGAGTTTTGCGACGAGTTTGATAATTAGTCATAGTTCGTTTCGGAGTGTAAGTGATGTTTATGCGTCATAATCTATTATTTTAGATAAGATCTAAGAAGCAATTTGAGTACTGTCATTTTGAATGCATATATTTTTCATTGTATTGTACTTTTACGTATATATATGTTTATGCTTTTTAAGTTTTAATATTTTCCCTTAATTTACTTAAGATTTGATGAAGTATTTCAGGATATTGCTTTATGATTTTTTTCTGAATATCCTGAAAATATATGATACATATGAAATATATGATGTAATAATACAATTTCATTGAAAAGATAATTCAGTTTTAATAATATGTTTTTTTAATACTTTTATTAATACGATTTCATTGAAAAGATGATTCAGTTTTATTAATAATTATTAAATATATCTTGATATAGTGTTTAAACGAATATACCATAATATGATCAAAAGTTGTACAATAATCTGTACAGATTCCATAGTGACCATAGTATTTGAACACTTCCAGCTTTGATTTCTGGAAAAAAGTATAAACGCGTACGTAAAAGGACAATATCAAAATAGTATTTATATTGCTTCTTAGAACCTATCTGCAAAATAACAAATTATGGCGCATAAACATCAGTCACTTACATTCCAAACAAATTATCACCAATTGTTAAACTCACCGCGAAACTCAACGACATCGTTGACCGTCAATCGGACGTGAAAAAAGAACAAGCATACTATCTCGCTCACTCTTTCGTTTTCTACTTTCCTATTCTCGTTATGCGTATTTATTAATAATCAGTCAATCAGAATCGTAAGAAGCAGAGACTGTAGTTAGAAATTACGAAATATATGTTTATATAAATATAAAAATCGATACGAACGAACAATATAATGATGAAGATATAATATAATGTATGCATTTTTTTCTAAATTAGAGAAAGACAAAAGAAAGATGGAACAAATAAAGAATTAGCGTGTTTATTAGATATATTGCCGTAATGTGTCCGCATGTGTATTTATTACATTATTAGACTTATCGATCCTGCGGATAAATCAGACCGATAAGTCAGGGTCACTGCAGAACCTAGCGAACATTGATTCGCTAGATCCTACAGTGATCCTGACTTATCAACTGACTTATCTCATAATTCGGTCGATAAGATTAATAATGACATCTCGTGACAGACGTTGCAGCCGTACAAAGGCGACGATGATAATAATAATGACAACGACGTTTCTTAAAGTAAAAATTTCCAGCAATACTTCCGCTCGTAGCGCACATAGCAGAAAAATAAAAATACTTTTATTAAGCAAGTCGAATTCAAGCTATCGATCAAGCCTGCTTAGAACTTGATTTAGCCATTATTAAGATCCGATAATTTCGAGTATTTGCATCGCGCCGAATCACGTAAAGTCACAGTAGTATTCACGATTGACTTGACACCCGAGACACTACCGTGTCTTCTAATTTCTCAAAAATAATATTTTGGAAACTAACTTTTTTATATATGATTAAATTCGTTATTTATATATTAAAATTAGCTTTAATTTTGTAATTTAAAAAATGTAAAATTTAAAAAAATATGAAAGGATGGAGGAATTTGTTTAAACAATTTTTTATCAATTTTATTAATTTCTTTTTAATAGTATCATAAAGCACTCTTGCAACCTTTATTCAAACCTTTATTCAAAACATTTTTTTCTTTCATTTATAGTTTCGATGGTATTTTTTTTTTCAAAGGAGTATTTTATTCCTTAAAAATGCATATGAGCACGTATAAAAAAATGTGTTCCTTATTTTTCCTATAATATAACATATTAAAAGTTCCTCAAAATCGGAGGGGGACTTCCATGGATTTCCTTGTTAGACAAAATATTTTAGATACATATATGTATCTAAAGGGGATTTATCAAAAAATTGGCATGAATGAACATAATATGTGATATAACATTATAGAAACATTAAATTAAATCATCTCTTAAAAATGATTCTGTATTCAATAAAATTCATATTTCTTGAATTTTGTAAAAATATATAAACAATTATTTACTGATTATATTATGAACAATTCATGCCTGTGATATTCAATCATTATCATTTTTTTCTCCAACTTTCTAATTTAAAGCTTTCCAGGTATTTTCTTTAGGATCGATTTCAAATGAAGTTCTTCTATTAGCTTGCACATATAAATATAACAGATAAGAAATTAAAAATATAATAAAAATTTTATGAAAAATATGAAAAAGCGGAGTTTGTATAAAAGATCATATAAAAAATAATAAAATTTTCCTTTTCTCTGTGATTATAGCAAATTGTGTAACATATACCATATCACTATTATCATAACATTATATCATTATTATTTAATCATATTAGAATTCATTTTAAAATTATAAATCATAAATATTTTATTATAAATTTTTACAGTATCCTTTACTTCAAATAATTTTATTTTATTCTTTAACCATAAGAAGAGCGAGCAAGATAATTTTAATTTAAAAGGAAATGTTCAAAATTGTAAAATAATTTTTATCTAATAATTTTTATGTATGATAATTTTTATGCTAATTTTTTATTTTGGTAAAAATTTCGTTTTTTATATTTTTTATTTCATTGAACATAATATATATTTTAGTACTTGCATCTAGCTTTTACTTATAAGCTTCTTTATCTTTTTTACTGATTCCGAAACTTATCAATTTTATTTTTAATATCTATTTGACTTTAGTTAAAAAGTTTAAAATAAAAATTCTAAATATTTCTTAAATATTGTATTACATTTTTAAAAAAGGCAAAATGACACGAAATATTTACGAATGGCACATATGTAACAATGATATAATATATTTTATAATGATACAATATAAACTCAATAAATAAATAAACATCATAATATGAATAATATAAGATATACAGAAATATATAAACAATAAATTAAGTCTAAATAAATTTCACAAAAGCTTTCCCTACATTATTTCTTTATTCAAGTGATGCAATTAAATATATGACAAAAAAGTTAAATTATTGCTTTAACATTTGTAACATTCTATTAAATTTGGGAATATTCATACATTTTTCGATTTTCAATTAAGTGACAATTTTATCGCAATAATGCGAAAAAGTCGAAATACTATGTATGAAACGAACATTGAATATCTACTTAGAACATCTTGACGTTTTGAGTTTTGGTAAGCTTGGTCCTCTCTCTCTCTCT